CTGTGATCATATACAAAAGCAAAGTTCCATGTTGTTTCTCCAATCCTTTCTCCATCAAACCTAATAAAAACAGTTCTGGTTTTTTTGAATGCTCACTTTAAGAATCTTTTGAATAGCGATAAGTATCTGATCCCAAAATTCTTTAGCTTTTTCACAGGTCCACCAAAGATGATAAAGATGAATTATCATCTTTATCAACTGAAACACTTTATCTTAAGGTCCTGGTCTAAGTTCACTACATTATATAGACCACTGCAATTTGGAAAAGTTTTTGCTCCTTTCATATTGGTGCTGGGATGATGAGTGATGAGTGCATTAGGGAACCAAGTTGGTCTAAGATACAGATCCATCAGCCTATTAACCATCTGTGACCCCAGCCTGCTACCCAGCCATATTTCTTTTTCCTAATTTCTACAGTAGTGTTTAAATTACTGTTTCAATTAATTAAAATAATATTTTATGCATATAATTTCTATATATGCTATATTCACCACTACTTTATAGTTATGTCAGGTTTTTTCTTTCAGTATTCATACAGGGTGAACCTTAACTTATGCTGTATCTTTAGCTCTTCTTATGTGATGAGCCTCCATTTGAGAATTTCATAGCAGAAATGCTAAATTTTGGATAAGAAACCCAAATTTTGTTGATGGTCCAGAAATGTCTGTTCATGATAACTCTGTTCTAGGAACAACTGGTTGGTATATACAAGCCACACAACCTTTTCACCATACCTTACAGCGTTCATCTGGTTCCAGCATTCTCTTCTTTCTCATAGTAGTTAAAACCTCACTGATGAGCAAGAGAAAATCCCTGTTCATAAAAAGCCACAAGGAAACAACACCAAAGCTCTCCAAAAGCTACTAAACATTTGCCCAATTTTCTCTTATCTGTGTGCTTCACACATCTACTGATATGTTTTTCTGGGTTATAGAGGCATGCAGAGAAAAAAAACACAATCCACATACATCAGCATATTGAATAACCCCAAACTTGCCTCAATCTTATAATACCAGCACTTAAAAAAAAAAAAAAAATGCAGACTTTACAAACACTGCTGCTGGCCTATTCTTAGCTTCCCTATGACGCTCTGAGGTTTTCCAGGATCAAGAACAGACTGAAACGTTTCTCCTGACCTCTTATCAATTTGCAGGCATTGAACTTGCAGGAAATGGGCTTGTTTTGAAACTGATTATTTTGGTTTGGTAAAGATAAAAGTTGCAAAGTGAAAGCAGCTCTGAAATCAGTTCAGAGCTGCTCGATTTGGTTTTAGTGAACTGTGTATTTATGTAGAGACAGTATCATTTGGTTCTTCTTCTTTTTTTAACAAGATAGCCTGCAGACAACATGGGGAACTGTGAAAGTCTACTGCTTTTTGATAAATTCAGGGAAGTAATCCTTAATGACAGCATGGGGTGATGATATGAATGTCTGCATGGTATTTATTAAACAATTTTTAAAAGGGTTGAGCTGTCAAAATTTGAAGAACCATCCAGAGATTTATAAACTGACTTAGCCTTGTCCCAGAATAAAAATAATCTTCAAAATAGGAAATCCATCATCAGAGTGTTTATTTCCCTTGTCAATTACCATTTTATAACATTTATAGGTATATAGAACTCCAATTTTAATCAAAGCATGAATGTAAGAGGGCAAATTAATCTATCTCACTGGCCATTTTATTATCTAAATGCTTCTGGCTGACCCTAAAGCTGATATTATTAGCCTTGAAGATATGATGAAGATACTTGTTCTTTTCCTGCTGTGAGACTTTGTACGGCTTCATAGATTACTTTGAAGTGGAGAAAGAGTCTGCATATGAGGACAATTATCTATCATTCCCTTCCCTAATTTTACTGTTCCAAACAATATTAGAATTTGTTATAACGTTTGTAAAGCATAGAACTGTGGAGTTGGAAGGGATCATAAGTATAATCTAATCCAACCCTCTGCAATGTACAGGAAAACCACTTACACAACTGAAGAACACTGAAGGACAATCTAATCATGCATTCCCCATGGTACATCTGATTCATCCCTCAAATACGGATAATGGCACTGGTTGGTCTTCAACAGTCTTGCACAAAGGGTAATTTCAAACACCAATTTTAGGCAACTATACAGCCAGTTCTTTCAATTTCCTCCATAGAAGTATGATTCAAGAGAGAGCAAGAGGAGGTGGGAGGAGGAAATAATTTCTTCACGAGTCCTTAAAGCAATTATGTCAGATTCCCAGAGAGGACATACTTATTACAACAGAGGGAAGCTCAACTATACTCACTTCTGAAACCAGGAGATTTAGATGAGATCCACCAAACCCCATTTCAGAAATTAAGATTTTGGAGTTTAGAAATTTGAAGATGCACACCCCACCCCACACCTGATTTTAATCCAGTTTGGGTATTAGTTCACCATATCTATATACTACTAAAATTCTTGTGTCTATAACTTTCAACTGGGCAAAACAGTGCATCACAGGGCAACAATTTTTTAATCAAGGTACCTCAAATGAGCTAACTTACAGAATGCATCCAAAATTACTCCTATGGGATTGGAATTTGGGAAATTTGTGGCTGCTTCAACATTGCTGCACTGTCACACCACCATAGTCAGCCCAGGTCACACAATCGTCATGGGTGTATCCCCGACCTCTTTCCCACCTCCCTCTGTCCCCATGCCAATCAGATGGTGGCAAGGCCAATGGGTGAGTGGTGATGGCTGCTTTGGAAAGAGGCAGAAATTTGAAATGTCTTAACAGCAGTGGACGTTGAGGGAAGGATGAGGGAGCGACTTGGATGCCTGCTGGCGAGGTAGGGCTGGCTGGGGGAAACTGGTGGTCAATGGGTGAGCTTTCTTCCTCCCTTGAGGGAGAGGGCCCTTGGGGACATGACAGAATAGGGAGTGGGGCTGCAGCTTTCCTCACGCTCCGCGGCTCCCTTTGTTCCACCTACCGTCAGCAAAGTGGCAGGCAGTTCCGCGGGTCAGCCAAGGAGGAGGAGAAGGAGGAGGAAGCTTCACCGGGCTCTCCTAAGGGTTATGAGTGGAGGGCAAATGGTGCAAGCCTATATTATATGTGGAAAAGGAGGGAGGGAGGCAGGGAGGAAGGAAGGAAGGTTGGTTTCTGACGATCCTTGCCAGCTTCCCACAAGCAAAGTCAATGGGGAAGCTGGCAGTAAGTCGTAAGTTGCTCACACTCCCACTGCTTTTTGACCCTTGGTCATTCTGTTTCTGTTTAGGTAAGGAAATATCTCTGAAATGATGACCCAACAGGTCACAGGTTGTCTAGTCTGAACTAAAAATGTACAATCTTAAGCAGATAACCACGTATGAATGATGTTAGTTTTAATCAACTGCAATGGAGTTACCTTTGAAGACTGTTTGAAAATACATAATGCACTAGACGGATGACTGTCAGGTGGGATCTGGCACAGGACTTTACTTCAGTCTGAGAATAACTACACTGGCTCTTCTTATAGCATAGTTCAAAAGGTCAGTCTTGGCCTATAAAACAGATCAGCTGCATACTCAAAAGAATTCCTTCTCTAGCGTGAACCACCTCAGCCATTAAGACAAACCTCCAAAACCTTGCTCCTTCTGCCAACTAAAGCAAGCAAGATTATTCCAAAATTCTCTCTGCATTCCCCTACTACTTTCCACAGAGTCTTGTCTTTTCTAAAAGTGGAAGTAAAAGTAGAAGTGAAATTTTAGAAGATGAAAACTATAGTAAATGACTTTTTGACTAGTTTGCTTGCTTACAAATCATGTCTGAAGGAAGGAAAGTATATTTAAAGATGGGAGCAACAAGCTTGCTGACAGAAGAAATACATTAAACAGCCTGAGAAACCCCGGCTAAGAAGGGCCAGTGCCTTGAATTGAGGAAATCATTTAAGGATTGGAGGGGAGTAGAGACATTTAATCTCACAAGCAGTGAAAATCTTGGCCCTCTGAGCACCTATTATTCTGGAAGTGGCTTATTCAGCAGCAGGCTCTCAGACACAACTGGCTAAATTAACTACTTTATTGTAGGCAAGAATTAAGCCATATAGACACCAAATATTTGTTCTCTGCAGTACACATACTGTAAATCAGTGTTGTCCAAACTTGGCCACTTTAAGATGAGTGGACTTCAACTCCCAGAATTCCCCA